TAAAAGTTGTAATACAAAGAAACACCAAAATAATTAAATTAAAGAGAAAAAATCGTACAAGTAAACCGTGGATTACCCCGGGTATTCTAAGATGCATCACAAACAGAAATAAGATGCAAAAAAAGTTGCGACAAGATCCTACAAATGAAACTCTAATAATAACTTATAGGAGATATCGTAATTATATCAATAATTTAATAAAAAAGTTAAAACGTAATTATGAGCGAGAACTACTGGCTAAATCAAAAGATAATAACAAGAAATTATGGCAATGCATAAATTGTATGGCAAACATAAAACCTAAGAAAACTCCAAATATAAATTTGTTTAACCTTAAACCTTCTCCTGTGGATTCTGTTAATGCAGTAAATGAGTACTTTGCTAATATTGGTAGTGATTTGGCTAAAAATATCTCGAGGGCTGATTTAGGATGCGAGTACAATGAATATAAATCAGGAACACAATTAAACTCATTCGTATTACTAGAAGCTGATGAAGGTGAGGTAGAAGATATTATAATGAACCTTAAGACAGACAGTGCACCTGGATGGGACAATATACCCACCAGATTTTTAAAAATAGCTCATACACAAATCGTACCTGTCATAACCCGTCTGGCTAATTTATGCTTCCAAACTGGTATTTTCCCAATGGTCCTTAAGAAGGCTATAGTAACACCAGTGCATAAGAGTGGAAGTGCAGATTGCGTCAGCAACTATCGCCCTATATCAGTCCTGACATCCATCACAAAGATTATGGAAAAGCTCATTAACACTAGACTTAAAAACTACTTAGATGGGACACAAATTCTTTCTGATTCACAATATGGCTTTAGACGCGGTCGATCTACTGAAGACGCTGTTACTGAGTTGACTTCTTTAATAGTTCAACATGTTGACAATCATCAAAAAAGTCTAGGAGTGTTTCTTGACATAAAAAAAGCCTTTGATGTGGTTTCTGTTCCGATCCTTTTACAAAGACTGGAAGCATATGGGATTCGTGGTATTCCACTTGCATTATTAACTAGCTACCTAGAAAACAGAAAGCAGCGAGTTAAGCTGGGTGATCACATAAGTGATCAAGCTGTAATATCATATGGTGTACCTCAAGGGAGCGTACTCGGTCCAACGCTATTTTTGATATATATAAATGAGTTATGTAATCTTAAAGTACATAATGCAAAGATATTCTCATATGCGGATGACACAGCCATAATATTTAGAGGGAATTCATGGAACGAAGTCAAAAAAATCACTCAGGAGGGATTGTGTAAAGTGACACGCTGGCTCAATGCGTATCTTCTCACTCTAAATATTGATAAAACAAAGTATTTGTGTTTTACTATTGATAAGAGAACGCAACCTAAAGAAGACTTTCAAATAAGAATGCATGAGTGCGGAAATGCAAGTAACTTAACCTGTCCCTGCAAATTTATCGAAAAAGTTTCATTTATCAAATATCTAGGTGTTGTAATAGATGAACGCCTATCGTGGCACTTACATATAGACATGATCATGGGCCGGTTAAGGAAACTTATATGGGTATTTAAAAAATTGAGACATATAGCTTCTAAGGCCTTACTGAGCAAAATTTATATCGCATTAGCCCAATCCATAATTTGCTACTGTATTCCTGTTTGGGGAGGAGCTGGTAAAGTCAAATTTTTGGAATTGGAAAGAACACAAAGATGCCTGCTCAAGGTCATGTATTTTTTACCTTACAGATTTTCTTCTGATGAACTTTATAACCTTAGTAGTGTACTGTCTGTAAGAAAATTATATATTCTAAATTCTACACTTAAATTGCATAAGTCACTGTCATATGACCCCACTATTTTAAATAAAAGAAGAAAGTACAAAGTTATCCCGACCTTAATTACTCACACTGCTTTTGCTGCTATACAATACGACAATCAGGTTAACATTTTATATAATAACCTGAATAAAAAATTGGATATATACCCTATGAATCATTATCGCTGTAAAGAAACCCTAATCGATTGGCTAAAGACACTCAATTATACAGAGACAGAAAGACTAATAAAATCTATTCGATAATGCTTTAGATTGGAGTATGTATTAACAACCTTGAATTAACACATTTTTCCTCACATACACTCACACACACATACAGTTACTCTCACTCACAAATACATACACATATATACATACACACTGACAAATGCACAAGCACTTAGTAAGATGGGCATTGAATAATAATGTTAGTATTGTTTTCCTTATTGAATCGGTAATGCTATTGTCTCTTTCTTTTCATTATTTATCATAAAATTTATAAGTATACTTCTATATAACGACTGGAAGAGCGGTGGCCTCCTGATACAGGTATTATATGTACTTAAAAGGAGGCACACCATGATGTTCGTTATTGTAAATTGTGGAGAGATAATAAAGAATGCACCAGGATCCTGACAATGCTTGAAGATGGGCGCAGTCAACGCAATACAGCGAGAACTGTTGGTGTGAGTCTTTCCACAGTTCAGCGGGTACTCCAGCGTTTCCATGAAACTGGATCCAATCTAAGAAGACCAGGAACAGGCCGAACGAGGTGCACGACTGCGCGGGAGGATCGCTATATGGTGTCAACAATTTCGAGAAATCGATTTCTTACGGCCGTTGAGGTAAAAAATCACCATTTACGAGCTGGAGGAAACTATCTGAGTACAGATACAGTAAGGCGACGTCTGGCTGAAGCAAATTTGAGAGCATTAAGGCCTGCAAATGGTCCAAAATTAGAAAGACACCACTTAAACTCAAGGCTGAGTTATAGCAGAGAACACGAAACTTGGACTCTGGATGACTGGTCAAGAGCTATGTTTTCAGACGAGTCTAGATTCTGTTTATACAAGCACGATGGGAGGAAAAGAGTGTACCGAAGACCGGGAGAGCGCTATAACCAAGCTTGTATAGAAGAAAAAGTACCATATGGCGGTGGCTCTATACACGTGTGGGCTGGGATTTCTTCCGAAAGCCGTACTGAGCTAGTAGTGATAGAAAATGGCAGTTTAACAGCAGAACGATATGTGAATGAAATTCTTAATGGCTATGTTGGTCCATTTTTAGTAGATATGGGCGAAAATGCTGTTTTTATGCAAGACAACGCCCGCCCGCATACAGCTCAGATAGTGTTCGACTATTTTCACGAAGTAGGTATCACATGCATGGAGTGGCCAGCACGAAGCCCCGACTTAAACCCCATCGAACATGCATGGGACGAACTGGGACGACGTGTACGTCAACGGAATCCGCCGCCAATCACGCTGCGTGAATTGAAAGGAGCTTTGATCGAGGAATGGCAGAACATTCCGCAGCATCGCCTTAAAAACCTTGTGGAAGGTATGCCAAATCGCATAGCCGCAGTTTTGCAAGCTCGTGGAGGCAACACGAAATACTAACATGCGTAAAAACGTCACATCTTTATACAATTCATATTTACGAAAATGTCAGAAAAACTACCTTTTTCATTCGTTTGACATTTATTGAAAAAAGACAACTTTTAATTTGTATTTTTTTATATTCAATAAATTACAATTAAATAATCTTTAATTTAGTTTTTATTTCATAAAAATAAGTTAAGTAGTTTTCAAGATATTGACGATTTTTTAACCGACCCGTTTTCTTTGCGGTGCAGTGTAGTTAGTAAAGAAAAGTAAGAGACATACCTGTGCCTCTTGAATAATATACAGAAGAATGCAAAGAGGCATGCGACGAGTAATATCGAGCTGCACACGATTACCAACATGTTCAAATCAAACATCTCAGATGGGGGGCCAATTTCCTCTGAAACAATAGGAGACATATAATTTTTTCTTTGATTTTGATCTGTATTTGTACTATTTGAAATAATAATATTATTAAATAACCACCCGATGTGATTTTTTTAAAGTAATTAAAGCAGCTATATTGTTTGAAGTATTCAAAATATACCAATTAAAACTACACAATATCGTCTCCAATTTGAGACTGCAAATGATGCCGGGACCAGCTGCTTGATGTGCCTCCTGGAGCACGGAGCAGCTCGAGACAATACGGACTCCCATGAAGCTGCTCCATCATCGTAAACAAACACGCTAACAACCACGTCATTGAGAATTTACTGCTTTAGCAGTGTTCTTAGAAAGCTTTACATAAAGACTATTTTCTTAATCGAATTATACGACTTCACGCCGTGAGTCACGCGATCACGCATGACTTTCTTTCAATTACAAACCAACCTGTTTAATATTATGTTTTTTTTTTTAAATATGGCATGTTGAATAATATAAAAATGTAAAAACAGAATATTCTTGTATATTTTATCAACGCAGCCCGTGGAATTCCATTCTATTCCTCAGTCTTCACTACCAAGAAATACCTAATTACTTATTTAAGCTTCGTCCTTAATTAACCTATTCGAACCCTCCAAATTGAAATACTTGTCATTCTTCTAAGGCAAGCTTAATTACGCAGTAGACAATAAAGCTTATTTTCATGTCTAGTCTAAATGAAAATAATTCGAATAATATTTCTTTATCTCCATATTATTAAATATCTGATATCACACGTATTAATTTCATTGTAATTACACTGGTGTTACTTTAAATAAGAAATAGAAAAGTAAATTAACGTCAACATTTTAAATTAAGACAATAGAAAATGTAGAATTTATAATAAACAAGGAAGATATTATTAAAAAAAAAAATGGTTTTAATAATGCGACTGGCATTATTATGTCTTATAATGTTTTTAATATAAATAATAATAACAGGTATAGATTTGTCTAGACAACGTAGAGCACGGGAGATACATCATATCTCGCATAAATGACCACAGACCAGAAAATATGCGACGGGTGACCAAAATTTTAAAATTTCTCATTATAATATCTTTGTTCTCTCCATTCCACCCGGTAAGTTATAACCCATTCTCTCATTAATTATATTAATTAGGAATGTATGTTCTGAATTTTGAGAAAATTAATAGCGATGATCTTTATGTATGTAACTACTCACCACCATCCAAAGTTTTTGTCGCGTAAGTATAAACAGTAGAAGCTACGCCAGCATCATTTGTTGCAGTCACTCTTAGCTGATACCAGCTGGCTGGAGCGAGTAAGCCGACCGCGTACGATGTCGGTAAAGATCGTAAAGGCGGCGCTTGATAGTGGCCTTCGATGTAGCTCCAGCCGAGGTTTAAATCCATAGGCTGTGTGATAACACATTTAAAATGTCGTTTCTGAATTAGTAAAGTTGAATAAATATAGTACTTATGGTTTGTTTCATTTAATTCTATTGTAAAAGTGGGATAAAAAATATTATGTATTTGTATAGATTTTATTCTTTTTGAAGTAATTGTGACATATATATTTTTAATTAAATGTAAATTCTATACGACCAGTACTTACAAGAAATTCAATTTAGAGTTCCACATTATATATATGAAAGTTAAATTCCGTATCTCTTACGATGACGAATCAATACTTTATTATATTCAAATACTGTAAAATATTCTTAATGAGAAATGCTTAAAAAATGCACTGGTAAAAACTACTGAGTTATCCATGACCTAACAGGACTAACGAATTCTTCAATCTCTCCTTACTATATATGGCTGCTACAGAGTGTATCTTTATTAATTTCAAGCAATCCACCCAAAATAAGCCGAAGAAACATATTTTTAGAAATATTGTAAAGGAGAATGGGCAGAAGTCGGCTAAAATTAAGCAAAATTGCGCACTACACATTTATTTATCAAAAATCTTCTCTTTAATTATAATTTATTCTATGTAAATACTATTTTAAAATAACATGCATTTAAAATTAACTGTATTAAAACAATTGCTAAATATTTACTACAATATAACTACGACTATACTAAGTTTCATTAATCGACTTGACATGCGAACTTCCTACCACTAGTTTTACAAAATAAGTATTTTAACTATGATAATGTTGGTCAGGTATTATATTAGTCAAAGACTATTTTTTAATCGGCGCAGGCGTTTTTGAGTTTATCCTTTAGAATAAAAAATCCAAACTTTCCTTTTTATAATATATGTACTATTTCACAATTATATATCCGTTGTTTGAAATACATTATTCATTTTATTGCTCTAATATACGCAGATATTATAACGACATAACCTTAAATATACAGATATTCTCAAACTCCGGTATAATTTTAAAATGTTCCTACTCATTCTAGAAATAATTCTCTATCGTTTACCGTTAGTTTCAACAATGTGCACGGTTACGCAATAATAGCCGAACTCTCATAGTAAATTGCCCATTCTCCTTTGGATTTCGCCCGGATTGTGAAAGGCCTTGGGTTCGAATTCCATCTCATTGTACCAAGGGCAAAGTGGATTTTTTTAACAATTTCTCTATAAGAATCATTACTTTGTTAATTAAGTTGATTTGAAATATGAACTCACAGCTTTGTTCTCCGCTCGGATCCAGACCATAGAGCCAAGTGGTCTATAGTCTACCTCCCATTTAGTGACATCACATCCACTGTCATCCCAGCCACTAAGCTGAATGTAGATGTGTGTGGCATTACTCCATAGCCAATCCGTTGAAGGGGGAGATACAGGCGCTATGGAATGATTGTCACTGAGTTAATTCAGGTAAAATTTTCTTATTTAAAATTCCATGAAAATTGTTTCAGTAGGTAAGAAACGTAACAGACACAAGCACAGATGGAGAGTAGCATTTTTAATAATTTTAGGGAACTATGGTTTTAGAAGAATAAAAAATAATTTCTTTAAAAGTCAATGGCAACTTCATCATGAAACAACTTTCCATTAATAACTTAATAAGATAAATAAAGTTGTGATGCATTCTATACGCTAAATTTGCGGAGAAAAGTTTTCCCTCTGCAATCGTAATAAAAAAATAATAAAGAAAGTTTACCTGAAAGACAGTGTCCAGTATAAATATACTTCGTTTGTTTGGATATTTGGAAATAATGCCATATGAAAGAATGGTGAATTTTATATCTACACAACGCCAAAATGGTCGGATTTAGTGGCAGAATTTACAAGTTAGAAGAGGGCAACATACACTTTTCATGATCAAATTGATCGTATGCTGTTGAAAAATGATACCAGAAGAGATACCAGAAAAACGAGAGATGTCAAGAAAGTGAAAGACGTGTCTTGTTGTGTTCGACTCACTCTTCCGTGCATGGGATTTGACACAGAACACGGAAAAGAGGTTAGAAAGGCGATCATGCATCCTTTGTACGAAAACCGATGTAGCCAGTCTTGCCCCACTTTTAGTCCGCCGTACATCAGACGAATAATTAGACCAATTATACAAAAGATATGCACACACTTGTATTTTAAACATGCCAATCAGAACGCTCCAATCCATAACTATAACAGACATCCATAATGCGCAATTTGACATATCACACTAGTGATTAACATAAAGTTATTTACTATCGATATTGAAAAACAACAAGTCGATTAATTGAAAGGATACTAGATTAATGATTTCTTTATATTATATTGGATATACATTGAATTGTATTGATTAAATGAGACATTATCTTTTTTCTTTAGATATAAATTCTTAATTAGTTGGTTGATTCAATAAGAAATATTTAAATTACTAATGAACTAACATTGAATCGGTACTAGTCGAGCTTAAATATATGCATATAATTATTAATAATAATAGTAGGTTTTTTTTACGTTACGTTACTCGATTTCGTATCAAGTAAACAGATAAGATCGGCAACATCGCTTAAATGAAACTAGTAATATTGACAAACAATATAATGTAAATAAATATATACAAAATAAAAAAATACTATCAGTACAATAAATGCTATTGGAACTTATCCTGAACAGACTCCGATGATTTAAAAAGTATTGTTGTTAATGGTTCAAAATAAAAAATAAAAATATTACAATATTAATACACTCATTATTAAATTAATATACAAACGCATTGCAAACGGAGTCAATATGGTTAATCTCTGATAAAATTTATTTTTTATTACCACTATTTTTATTGTCTATACTTTTATTTAGTTTTTACTACCTAACATACCAAGAATCGATTACATGTTTCCAGGCACTTCACTACCCATCTACCGTAATCTATTATGTTGTTATTTAAAACGGTAATTTCGCGATATTCATTACATTACGTGCTTAGTACGACGCAATGTAATAAATATGCGCACTTCTCCAGCAATGTATATTTTCTTGGAAATATTTTTTGTGATTCACACTTTTGATAACATTTCACGATTTTCGACTAAAAATACTAAATTTGAGAAGTATTCTACTTAATAATGGAAAGAAATCCTTCCTTTGGACCAACTTGAGGTTGGGCTTCTTGTTTTTCAATTAATAACTGCGAAAGTCGGCATTTTTAACACTTTTAATGGCGTGTTTCACAGTACTTACAGCGCGCGCGTTCGTGAATGACTAAACATCGCGATCGCGTGGTGAAGTCACGATCCTGTACATTTGTCTAGGATCGTGACTGCACTGCCACGCCCACAAGGCCCTTCTAACGTCTTTCTGTGTTCTGTGGGATTTGAGATGTTCTGTGGGAAGCTACTTTCGTACCAATTAATGTTAAATTGCATTGAAAAATAATTAAGGTTAAAAAAGTCTATAATTATGTTTACACAATATAATTTAAAATATATTTCAGTATCACATCGCGTGCAGTTTTAGAAAATCCATAGTTTTTATAAAAAAAAAATCTCTTTGGCTTGGTTCTTCTCTTGAATTGAACTTCTTTCTTAGAGGATGGAGTTAATAATTGTCTTAAAATAAATTGAAATGGGAACTCTGATACCGAACCTTGCGAAAGTTATTCTAATGAAGCAGAACCTAAGAATATAATTAACACAAACAATTGTAACACTTGAGTACGTTTTTACCGTAATCGTTTTCGTGAAAGTTATATTAAACTTGACGTTTGTTCTATTTCAAATATAAAGGATTAAAACCCCCCATCGCGTCCGTGTTCCCGACATTTCAAATAAACGTTCATTAAATATTTAATCGTAACAATGAAAGCGTAGGTATTTATAAAATCACAAATATTTAACGATATAAAATAGACTTTAGTTTGAAGTTTTTAATGAATTAGATCATTTCACGGCAAAGGCCACTTTCATGGTATAGGTATCTCTAAGGGTTCTATTCTAATTCGGGTAAGTGCCACTTAACTTTGTGCGTATTTAAACTAACATACGGTAATTTTTCCATCAGAATTATCTAATAAAATCTTCCTAATGTTAGATTTTAGTAAAGACACTAATGACATTTCTGTACCAATTAAAGGATACTGTAACACGGATAGACATAAGTATACATTGATAAATTACTTCTTACCTCCTCCCAAAGTAACTATATCAGTATATGCAGGAGCAGATGTTCCAATGTTATCTGTAGCAGTTACCCTTAAGGAATATTTCGTTCCACATTTGAGTCCAGCTAATGTATATTGTTGTATCCCAGGAAGCCGTGTTTCTCTTGCTGCGGGCCAAGCTTCCTGCCAAGGGCCATCAGCTTCTCGCCATGTTAAGTTATAACCTGACAAAAAACGCTAATAATATATTACTTGGTTTTTAGAGAATTTTGCGAACAATTTTTTTGTGTAACTGTACTTCCTATACTTTTGATAGGACATGGGTTGTAACGGATTTTGTTTCAAATCTGTCTCGTTAAAATTTAAGTTGGATATAAAGGTTTTAACATCGATCATGATTGCTTAAAAACTGGATAGTTTCAATACTTACTTATCGCATAATTAGTAGTATTGTTGCTGTAAGTCCTTATCTCATCCCACTCCACCACTATATGGTCCTTGTAAGGAGTAGCTCTTAGAGAAGGTGGGTCAGGTAACGGTAGTACTTTTACTCCATATATTACAGAATCTGATCCGTATAAATTTTTCGCTAAGCAGGTGTAATTACCACTTAGTGATTGGTCAATACCTGAGAAATTGTAACAATATTACTGTGTTGAGTTATGATATATAATCATCAGCTCATAAGAAAATAGCCTTGACCGTATCGTAACCCTCGTAGTTTTAGATTTTCATAACACCAGCTTTAGCTATATCACTTTTAATTCGTTCAATGTACTCGTACATGATATTGGAGCTCAAATGCGGAATAGTTAGGTTATTTGTATAGGTTAAGCAATTTTGTTAGTGGCTAGTCATAGGATTGTAGACCAAAATTTTTTATCTGCGACTTATTTGATTTGGAAAGCACGCAAGTCATTGGTCCCGGCTGCGTCTGCAATCATTAGCATCCACTAATCCGTAATGACCCCTTATGGTGGATTACTTTCTATTGTCCTTATCTGATTCAATTCATTGGGAAAATAAATAGACTGATGATGTTGACATAATATTGACGATTTCATTTATTTAAATTGTAAATGATAATTTGTTTTAATTCAAAGGACTTACTTTTTATTAGTAAACTATCATCTCGATTCCTAGTGAAACGTGGATGATGCGTAATGATGTTTTGATTGTGATACCACACAGTTCTCGGTGGTGGAGAACCAACGCTCTTACATTCTAACAGTAGAGAGTTTCTCACAGCTACTGTAACCTCTCCTCCTAATGATGCCACTCCTGCCACTACTGTCACATAAAGTTTATTCAGATGTTTATGAGCACCAAATATATAATCACTATGTACGCTGAAAGATCGAAATCACTCATTGAGAAAAAAAAATAGTTCACAATGCGTTGTGGTCACAGTAAAATATCCATATAGCGAAATTCGTATTATGGATCTTATGGAAACGCCCACGACGCGTTGTGACATTAGTTTTTCCGTAATTGCCACAACGCGTTGTGAATTATTTTTTCTCTACAATGAGCGATTTCGGTTTTGAGCGTAATATATATAATAAGATACATAACGGTGAGAATAAATCCTTCTATAAGATCAAAACTAGTAGATAAAGTCAAAGACAATTCACGATATTAGTGGCCAACCTACATTATTTGTGGTCGTCAAGCTAATAACGATTAGTATTATTAAAGATCTAATACTCTAACAGTTTATTAGGCACTTTGCATGACAAAAGAATCATTGCTAAATATAGACAAACTAACGACTACCTAGTTCTATAAACGTTATGTGTAGAGTTGTAAGAATTGCTACCCTTCGTTGGCGACATTTGAGACAACATACAATTGTTTAGGAGAGACTTGATTTCAGACCGCTATAAATTTACTAAGGATTTATAACCATGGAAAGGCCATTCATTTATGCGATTTGATCTCGGATTTATCCGCCATGCACCTATATGTCAAGAACAAAATATCTCATATAACCAAAATAAAAATAATTGTAAAAAATATGGTTAAATAATCCAAACTATTATAAAATCCATACGCTTGTTTATCTAGATATAATTTATTTATAGTCTTAAATTACAGTTCAATACCAAGTAAACTTGTAGAGATTTATACAGAAACAAAACTTATCCACAAATTACTATTGTCATAGGACTTTCGGTTATCTTTCAGTTTAGATAACACAGCGACTCTGACGATGGGCTTATCTCTTTTATAATCAGTAAACTTTGTCGAGAGTTCATAAATTACTTTCGATTTGAATTCTAGAGACGAATAATAATTTCAATTCACAGACGAGTTAGAATTTAAAAGTCATTTTTTATATATTTCTGATATGGAAGATGTTTAATAGTATCACACAAACAGTATTGATTACAAGATAACGTAAATTCATATAAAATATCTAATTGTAATGCCAATAACTGTCAAAATTACTTGCTAAGTGGCACTTTAAAAATTTTACTAATATTTTATGATGTTGTCACGTCACATCATCAGTAAGGATTTTAACACAAATAAAGATTTTCGAGTGGTATTATTGTCCGAAGTTTTTTTTTAATATTGATATTTTCAAGTAACAAACAAACTATTGTCATAAAATCGATGAAATATTATAAGTAGCTACATTTTTATAGATATATATATAAAAGAGGGAAGCTATAGATAAAATAAATATTTATTTGTTACCTCTTTGCGATGGTGCGTTAGTAACCCTTCTACTCTCAGGTCCTTCCCCAACTATCGTACTAGCGGTTACCCACACGTCGTACTGCCGGCCTTCACTTAAACTCTTGATTTCTACACTCAGGGTCTTTTCGTAAGCTTCTGCGGTTTGTTGGGCATCGATCCGAATTGTTTGTGGGCCGTCGTTGCTGTTAAATTTTACAATACTACCAACTTAATAAAAACTCGTAAAGTAAACTCTAAACTAAACTCGTAATTTAGTGTTAACTCTAAACTCTGCAGTCAAATTTTGACCGCCCGACGGAAAATTAAGATTTTTGTTTATTTAAAGTTCGTATTACTAATAAGCTGAGTCAGTTTCCCGTATCCCACTACTACTCCCACTACTTGGATACGCAACTCTGAAATTGGTAAAAATGGCTTTAGTTTAAAAACAAGTTCCGTTTAATACATTAAATGACAAGCGGAGTGTAAAATTAATATTTTTTCAAGCTACAAAGAAACAAGATTTAATGGATCTCTAATATAAAAACATCAAAGATTCTTCTATTGAATATAAATACATTAAAAAAAAGTTTAAATTGATAACTGCCTCTTTTTTTCAATCAGTTAAAGATAACGATAAATGAAAATGCCATTAGAAACAAGGTAAGCATAAGTTTATGCTTATGCCCAGTAGTAAAACGGCCGGATTCTAAATTGACAATAATACAAAATCTCAACTCGATTCTCAATAGCTTAAGTTTTTTACTTTTCACTAGGTAAAAAACCTTAGTTTTTATCAAACGACTATCAATTTATCATATAAAAAACTAAAATCAGAAACGAAAACCTGTTTAAGTACAGTTTGAGACGTGCTTAACTAAATACTCAATTCATGAGTGTTCCAGGATCTCCATAAAAACTTAGTAAAAGTATTCACGAAAACATCGATTAGAACACTGGTCCTTAAATATCTTTAAAACAATATAGCAATTACTGTACTCATGATACATCCAAATAATTGGCAATTATAATAATTTCGTGAAAATATTTAACAAGAGGCAACAGGGGCAGCGAATGAAATTGAGATAATAATTTAATGAGAATGAAATATCAAAATAACGATGTTAAAGTAAAAATTAATGCTTATAAGATGTACATCTTTAGGTATATGTAAAATATAATGCTGTAAGATGTACTCAACGAGATGATGTAATAAATTTTCTTCATTCACATCCAACAAAATTCTTTTTTTTTTATTATTGTGTCAAATCTTTTCTTTTGTATCAAATCGTTAAAGTAAAAATTAATGCTTATACATGTAATAAATTTCCTTTATTCACATCCAACAAAATACATTTTTTTTAAATTATTGTATCAAATCTTGTTTATGATATTATACACTTTTAAGGACCATTATGAAACCCATGCCTATTTGTATAGAATGTTACAGGTACAGAAAGTGTAAATTAGGAGAGATTATCTGTACAAGTTTGCCTGCAGAGAGAGAAAGCAGCATTTGGAGAGTTTCTTGCCAGTTCTTGTCGGTATAAGGTAGTAGATTAGGCTGTAGATTTACGATAAATACAGTCTACCGGAGAGATTATCTGTACAGGTTTCCCTGCAGAGAGAAAAAGCAGCCTTTGCAATTTCTTGCCAGTTCTTGTCGGTACAAGGTAGTAGATTAGGCTGTAGATTTACGAACTGATGGCATAGAGTTTCGACTTTATAAGTCCCCATGACTTCTTGAATTATTACCTAATAGCTAAAAGGCCCATCCTTCTTAACCATCCATGAGGAAAACATGAGCCTAGTGGAAAAGAAAAAGGGATTATGATGTTCTTCTTAGGTTATTCGAATACGCTTTAAACATACCTTGCTGTAGGTTTGCAGTAAACGGTGTAGTGTAGCAGTCTTCCGTTGCGCTGTTTTGGTTTCTTAAAGCTCACCAATAGTGTGTTAGAGGATTGCGACAATAGTTTTATTTCCGCCGGCGCATCGGGTACTAATGGAAAAAGAGATATAAATGTTTAAATATTCAGAATATGGAGTGTGAAAGCTACGGATTTCGGATTTAGTGCGATACGAAAGAAGGAGCAATAAAGTTTTTGAAGTTGATGTAATATTGCAATGATGACCCCTTTTGCTAACATTAACGGCAAAAAAGTGATTATTTACATCAACTAAAGATGCTTTATCCTTCCGTTGGCGCGGAAATAAAAATTTCTGTCTTACTTAGCTGAATAAGTATGTATTACTTGAAGCGTGATTTCTAAAGTTACATTATAGAACTGAACAGTGCTTATCTATAACTGCCTTAACTCCTTGGATACAAAACGTTTTCACTGTGTAGGGTTGGCAAATGTTTCAAATAAATGCGATGAAATAATTCTAAACGACTTCTTTGGAAATCATGATATGATGATCAAGTGATGTGGTGGTGAGCCAATTTTTTATGCTTGCTTTTCTTTAATAAATACATATTTAGTTTAATTTATACAAATATACATGATTATATTATTCTATAGTTACGATTATAAAATTAGATATTAAAATAGCGAATATATTACAGAAAGACAGAAAGTAACCAATAAATCAAAAAAATATTATTTAAACTATAAAAAGTATTCGAAAAAGCTATTAAATATCTGCGTATAAGTTGATGATAAAAAGATTAAAAAAACTTCTCGGATACTACAACCAATAAATATTACAATTAATAATTAAACACTTATATTAGATAAATTAAAACTTCGTTTGAACTTAAAAAAATTAATAAAGAAAAGAAGAGAGACGAATTCTTGATAAATACTAGTTATTCGAAGTAATAAAACAGGACTGTGACAACCCTACTGCTATAAAGCTCGAGCAATTGTAAACTCACCGTCTTGCAAGGTGGCGCACACAATAGGGTAAGTGAATGGACCGAGGCCGTAGTTAGAGAAGCCCGCTACTTTGATGGTGTAATTTGTGAACTTCAGCAAGCTTTGCAACCGTAGCTCCGTCACCAGAGAGGTCGCGTTCAACCAATTACGACCTGAATGAAAGATTTAAATAAATAAATACAAAATATGAAATTGGTTGGACAAATGCTTGTTAATAGGAGTCGATCCATAGTGGAGTTGAGATTGAAAACCGCATTCAGGTATAAAACAATTTATCTGCGTGCTAATTGTCTAATTTTAAAATCTGTTGCAATCTCTTTCAAAGGAATAGCGATAGCAATTTATGGAATTATATAACTTTGATGATTTAATTGAACAAGAAACATTATAAAAAAATCGGTCGAAAGCTTGCATATAGCATTTTGTTGGATATTTCTCAAAAGCTTTAAATGATATTGGCGGCTTGCCTTAGACAATATCAATTAACATTAAATTAATGATATCGTTCATTAAAATTCTTTCAAAAAACGTCGCAAACGCTATCACATGACAACTAGTTGTAGCGTGAAAATCGTGAATATCTTAAAATTCTAAGGGATTGTGATATATTTCAAAATCAGACAATTAGCCCTCTGCTTCGTTTTCAAATGTATTAGTTTTCGAGGCCCAACATTAATCTACATTACTTTTTTATAAGTAGTATCGGCAAAATTTATTTAATTATAAGAGAGCATTCTATAGCCGTTGGAATACCTGACAAAAAAGGTTTAAAAGCATAACAAAACTCGTGACTTTAGAGACAGTTTAATGCACATAAAAATGGTTTGAATAAAATCACGGGCTTAGATTGACTTACCCTGAGGGGCGTATAATACAGTATATCCTATAAGCGCACCCGCCTGCTTGTGCGGCGGAATGGGCTGCCAACTGACTCGTAGTGCTGTTGACGTCACTCCATTGCATTCAACAGCCGAAGGACCCTCTTCGGGTGCTAAAGGAAATTGATAATCAAGGCTACAATAATTTTATTTTATATCTTTAGTTTCCGTTGCAATTTTCGATCTAAAAATATATAACATACTTTTATGTAAAAATGGAATGTCGTGTAAAAAAAATATGATCCAATCCATTGACTGTTTATGGCGTAGGTTTTATGTATGTGAATATACGTAAGCTGAATTTGTAGATTAACGTTGCCCACTTTTATGGCAGCCCACTTGACAATTGAACGGCAAATAACAAAAACTAACATATGTGTGTTTGCCATTTGTGTATATGTTTTCCAGTGATCGTAAACAGTGTTTTAGCTCAAATCAAACGATATATGAAATACATTAGTGTTTGACAGGACTTGGCACGTATTCGCTGTTTGTAGCAAACAGACATCATGTAAAGCGTTAAGTATTTTTTAAAGCAAATGTTTATGTAAAATATATTTCTGTAAAAAAAGAACTTAATCATAACTTTATTTTATTTTCTTGGATTCTTTTTTAAACAATAGGAATAACAAAGTCATTAACACGTCAGCTTCAAGTACAAATTTCTCTGTATTATTACACTGGAAATTGTACAAAACGAGTGAAGTTTCAGACTGTAACGAAAATAAAGCGAGAAAAACTTTTTAATTTCACCTATTTGACTGTTAATTACATTTCGCAGAGCAAAAGTTCGCTGAGAAAATTTGCCAAGCACATAGCGAGAGGATCTTCTAATGAAAGAAATTAATTAGAAAATCGCTTAGAAAACTTTGGATAACTCCCTAAGGTAAGAAGAATTCATTCAAGTCTTAATTAACTGACGTTATGAAAATTAATAATTGTTTTAATTATTCATGGCAGCGTTTTGCCTTTGAATTTGTATTAAGTGTTATTATAATTTGATACTTATTAGGGTGGTTCCACGTAAAACCTATGTTTCAAAAGATCGTGATGTAAAAGTTAACTAGAAATAGATTTGAATTTCACTTTATGTCCCCAGTAGTCAGTCAACCAATGAGATACAGTGATTTTAGTTTGATTTTTAGCAATTGGGCCAGCTTAGGCGGTACTACCTTATTATTCTCTTTTCACATATTAGAGGGGTAGAGCTTTGGATATACCACAATGTTCCAACATGGAATCATATTCGGCAAATATTATAGTTTGGTTTTCATAACCACAAATGCAATAAATGCTTATAGGATTGTTACCATTGGGCACCTAAAATAGCATATTATTTATTTGTTTAGTTTAAACAGAGAATCCATTTCTAAATTCGACTTAAACTGCTAGTATGTTAAATGTATTTCTCTTCCTTCCTTTTCAGTATGAAAGATATAATCCGGAACCCACAATTTTGTTTTTCAATAAAAATGTTATACCGAGTTTATTTTTTTATTCGAAAAATGTCAAGGGAATTAACGTGTTGGATCCGCCAACTAAATGAACCAGCGTTATAGTCTAAATTTCAATATAAGTGACAGCATGACAGGCAGCTGTTGGGGTATGAAGAACGGAAAGGTATTAAGTAACCAAAACTTGTAAAGCAAATGTAAAAAGGTTTATGTTTCATTTTGTAATTTTTCCTATGATGGAACGTAGTTGAGTGTTTAATTTTTCTGTATGTTATTTGTAAAAGAAGAAAGTTTGGTTGTACGAAATTTATTTCATAGATATTTATAACGGTAATTATTAAGCAGAGGGTGGCCCAATGTTTCATTTCATTCCTGTAAAAAAATATATTTAACTTAAAATTGATTATTTCTTAATAATTTACACTTCAGTTTTGAGTTTCCTTACTTGATTTTTTTTTGTTGGATTACAAATTGCTTTAAACGAAACATAAATTATGGTATAATATAAAAAAATCATATAATATAAAATAAAAAAAAGAAAACAATTTCTTCTGAAGTCTTCCTTTTTTTTGCCCAACTTAAGAATTGTATAAGCAACACTTTTCGTTTGTTTGTTACAAACAATTCGCTAGGAAAAAATTAACTAATCCATTTTTTTTTAATTTTGTTTTAGACAAAAGAATTTAGTTATCTAATTCTCAAAATATACGCTTGCCAAGGGATATAATTTAATTTCTATTAATACAATATCAACATATCTGGACAAAGATCAGAGTTGTTTTTTTTATAAAATGAGCCTTTATAGATACAATTTTAGCCATAAAATAAACTTCATAGTTTATTTTTCCGCTCGAGATATTGTAGCTAAATATGTTTTGTTTTATGACAACATTGAACACAAAAATATTATTGCATACTTAAAAGCAATCCCATTAACATAAAACACAGTATCGTACAAAAATATCTTCTCTGTTACACGAACCTTTAAAAGTTACATAAAGACTCATAAATCTTTTACTTAGTTCCTGTTTTCCATCTTTCCAAGTTTAGAAACTTTGAGACACGCTAAATATATAAGTTTACAAGTATGGTCTTGTTTCAAATGATGGCATTTATTATTTTAAATTATGTTTTTGGTAAGCGTGACAGAAGTGTGGACTGCGCTGTAATATTCCAACTAGTCCTCCAATTTCAGAAGGTGTGAAACTATAGTTTAAATAATCTAAGATAAATCTTCAACACTACTTAAGATTATTAACTTTTAATAAGCTGTTATCTATCTCGTGGGAAATTTTGAGTTAACAAAGAAGTTTTGCGTTTATTGTTATTGGTCAGTTTTGTTTTCTTTTTGCATTTGTGTCATTTTTGCTCTGGATGAGTAGTGTGCTTTAACAAACTACACATGGGGCCAGGCGACATTGAGCTCAGTAAGTACCAAACGACCCTTCTAGCGTATGTTTTATAGTGATAAAAGTCAGTGGAGTCTTCTTTCTAGTGTTTTGTGTGGCAAAATGGAGACGTTTGCATTCGCCCGTTTTTTCAAGATTATCTGTACTTCAGGGCTAATATGATTGACACACTGATGCCTGATTCCACTAACCTCAGGAGTTGCCCAAATCTGATACTTCAATATTTGGACATTGTTTAACGTGAAAATGTATTTCACCAATGACAAGGACCTACCTAACTCAGGACCTACTTAACGACTTTAAGCAATGCTTAAAGTTAGGACATGATCTTTGCGGCGCCTAGCGCTGGGCATTCGTGTAATGTGATATATACATTTAATCTTTGGCTATAAATGATGTTTCAAAGGATTAAATCAATTTTGTAAGTTGTAATTAAACATTTATATATTAGAATTGTGGTATAAACCATTAGTTTTTTTTTTAATTTTCACAATTTTTATATACGAAAACGACTTTGGTGCTCGTGTAAATAAAAGACCACGTAAATTTTTTCTTTTGTTTGAATTATGTAAAAGCTAATAGGCCATACATTAAAAAAGAAAAAGAACTGAAGTATGCAAAATCATAGACATACGTTGCCTATCTTAACAATTGCTTATTAAGGCAATACATAAAGTTATAGGTTTGGTGAAATTACAAATCAGGTTACGCTATTCTTAGTATTAAGTGATTTCTAGTTAAGTTATGCCTTGTTTTAGGTTAGTGAAAACGGGCATGAATGTTAGAAACAATCCCAACCATTTAGCCATCAACAAATAACCATAATTATAATATAATGGAGTTATGATAGCGTTTTTCCAACAAAAGTTCCAACAAAGTGTGTTGTGTTGTTCTTGACTGTAACCATAGAGACTGTAAAGCACAAATGCTTTACATATACATATTTTTGGTAAAATCAAATTGATCAGCTTTATCTGTTGGACCATAGATTTAACGGTTGGTCATCGGTCGGCATCAAATATAATTTAATAAAAAGTGATATTTATTACATATGTGTGAGAATAAAATATTAGTATCAGAAAATAGTGAAAGTCACCCTTTAAGAAGGTAATTTAATTTTAAAAGCAACAATCATCCATTATGAACTCAGTCACTACTCTTCTATACATTCCATTACCGTGTTTCGAGTTTTTTTTTTTAAATCAATCAGCTTAGGAAAATAAATAGCAAGCATAAAAGCCAAAACAAAATATTTCATTTATATTTTGAGCGGTAACAGTTAACACATTCACAATTTTCCATATTGTAATATCAGAAGGGATAATCAGGGTTAAACTTTTTGACCCGAAAGTTTATCCCCTTTGGGGGAAATATTTAACAAGTTTCAACAAGTTTTTCTTATATCCGACAACTTGTTAAGAATACTGTTTTCCCACTTTTGTATATTGTTATCTAGACTTCTGCTAAGCGGATTTTAGATTCGCCATTTTTGATCAGATTACCTGTAACATCTGTAGGAAATAAACTTTCTTTATTGATCATGTTACTGTGGTTGTTGTAACACATTTTCCTAACATAACAGCTTTTGTTATATAATTTGGAATGTGATTATTTACTTATTACTCTTTATTTTTTATAGTGTATTAAACTTATACTGTCTACATTACCAGGTAATTAATTACAAATATTTCTAACAATGTATGTCAAACAAACTTCGTTCAGTGTCTGTCGAATGTTACATAGACTTCCCCAAAACGCGTTAAAGGTGCAAAGTAATTAAAACAACAATAACAAACTCTGCATCTTGTATCGTTGTTTGTTAAGACAATAAACCATGAAGAGTGAAATTGCTACCATCAGTAGCTTAGCTGTATATAAGAAAAGGATAGTATTTAATCGATCGAATTACGGATATTCAAAGTACTTATTATGGAGTAATTTAATAACAAATGGACGAAAGATTAACAGCGAACGTGAATTGTAAGTCTAATAAAAAATAACTCCTTTGTGTGAAATAAAACAGGGGGTAAAGCAGCCACTGCTGAGTTTCTTACTGGTTCTTCTCAGTACAAGGTCTCCCGTACGGCGTAGTTTTCGAAATTCACAAGTACTTGAAAAAGTCTAGGTTGAATAAATTATATTGAACTTGAATTTTGAAGAAAGCTCCATGCTGTCATCGCTCGACGTCAAGTTTGTACAAATTAGCTTCAAATCTGATTTATGTCGTTAAATAAATACATTTACTTTTATTTAATAATTAAATATCATAGAAATAAATAAGGGGATTAAGAAAGATGGAAAACTCAAAGTGTTTACCATTTATTTTGCATACGACAACAGAATCTTAGGAGTTTCCTCAAGTCAACTAAAGTTGAAAACTTAGTTCGTTTGTCAATCTTTAGTATACAAACAAACAATGGATGAAAAATTATGTCTCTTTGGACCCTTAAAAAGGAAATGAGAAAACATTTAGGATTCATCAATATTCTTTTAGGGTATTGTAACGTAAACTTATGATTAATCGTTGCTACTTTATATTTTTATTATTTCTACTTATTATTAATGGTATTAAAAGTATAGGATTAGATTAAGATATATTTTATAAAATTACAGGTTCGTTGCGTAATTAAGCTTATCTTTGATGTGGCATCTTATACCTAAAGCTTTATTCGACCTTTATATAATTAGAGTACAATCATATAATATGAAAATTGTGAAATCAGGGAAACCTCGAAAACTTCGAATTATCAAGAAACAAATATTTCAATGAGATTCAACTAAACAAAGTAAATTGTCTGTTCCTTTAAGAAATTTCTATGTTTTTGTTTTCGAATTTTACTCTAACAGAATTTTAGATATAAGTGAAATACGCGTTAAGATGGCATTCATTCATATTCCTTATATTAAAATGTGCCTTTAACCTATAAGTAGGATGAGATATGAAAAATGGAATATATTAGATTAAAAAATCCCCTGAAATACTCACCTCCTTCTCTAGTATCTTGAAATAGAGGAATCGAGAATGGTCCCATGCCGGCACTGTTGAATGCTGCTATAGAAACAGCGTACCTGAATAACAGCAAAAAGATTTTAAAAAGGGTTAGGTGGTATTAATGTGAGTGTTCCGTGAGCTATAATGACTCTTACGTACACGTGAGTGAGCTTATGTTCTAAGTTTGAATCTTGTTTTCGTCATTAAATTATTACCTTGTAATTTTCTTTGTTTTAAATGAAGACATTTAAGGTGTAATTGACGTGTAAAAAATCACTAAGATTCAATATTTTTTCTGAACAAAGAAATAAAGTTCAGATAAGCTGTGTGGAAAACTATATCCGTCATACCAAAAAGAGTATTTATTAAATTTTTTCTTTACAAAAAATCAATATATTCCTAAAATTCACATTTTATTTATATTTCTTCTCGTTATTATACTCTTTTTTATAGAAAATTGATGAATACCTATATGAGTCACTTTGTAGCTGAGGGCTTTACAATAATCGTAATGGGTCTCTAGTGGTTAATTAGAAATAGTTTATTACGTCATCCTCTATTTTTATCTCATTGACAAACGCGTTGGTTTCGTTTCCTTTCCCTTTTGATTTTTAATCCAGCCTGGTTAAATTCAGCCAAACTAATTTTGTTGTAGTTAGAACCTTTCACGATTTGGTATTAAATTATTATTATTGACATAGGAACTATTTCTTGTGTATTTTAACATTTTTTGATTTCATCAAAAGATCTAATAAGTCTGTGATACTATAAAACCATAAATGTATAATTTGACACCTGGAAACAGTTTGTATGGAAAACAATAGTTTTATCATTTAGGTACTAATTTCCACTTGATTAATAATTTTTCACTTCATAAGAAGCAATATTCATTCCATTTTAAGTTAGATTTCCCGAATCCAAATAGAATACAAACGAGATGTTTCTGTTAGAATAAAAAGTAAAAAAAAATATAGAAAAACACATCAAAAACTTATATATGAATTCAATATACTCTTACCTTACGCCTTTCAACAGTCCAGTGATAACAGTTTCTTGCTTTGAATATAGAGAAGAAGTTTTTATTGTCTTGTCGCTAACCTCTTCTGTTTCTACGAAAAAAAAAGAAATTAGAACATTTAAAATATTGGATGTATTAGATCCTCAAACCTCCGAAACAAATCGACTCTTGCTTCAATACTGAATTCTATGGACTTATTTGAACCAGGCCATCCTAAATCAATATTAAGAAAATAAACGAAAAGCTGAATCAAAATTAATGAATGTTTCATCCTTTCAGTCAATAGTGATTCTTTTCAGTCAAGGGAATATCGACCTCTTCGGGGTCTTATCAATTTTACTATAAGTAAAATATTGATACGAATGACTAAATCAGAATACAGTACTTATTTTATGTATTCGAGAACAACCTACCATTTTTAACTTACAATATTGGCATATTGGTATTGAAATACTCCATTTATTTGCAGATAAATGGGTACTCGGCTCAATAAATTAGTAAAATGATTTAGTTAAGTACCTATTTTAGACTCAAAAACTAGATTAAGTCAGATGCCTTTAATAAGGATAAAAATATATAAGTTTTGGATGAAGTAGATGTATCCTGAGCTAATCAAATTTCTCCAATTGGTTTTAAAACCTAACAACTTAGATTATGCAAGTATAATGTCATTAACAATTAAGTTCAAAATCAACTGGAAAATTTTGATAGTTACTACTACACTTTATATCTGCGATTCAGAATCGCAGTATTTATATACGCAATCGCGTATATTTATACATTTTTCATTATTTGCTACTCAAGTGAAGTGATTCACTTGTAATAATAACCCGTAAAATAATATGCATTGAATGTCATTGTCATTTAATAAACTTATATTTCTCAAATAAATTTATTCAGATATGTGGGTATATCTATTTCCTACTTCGTCTTGCATCTCCCCTTCTCTTTTATCAATTAATATTTTTCATGGGTGGCCCGGAAGAGATTGTATGCAGCAAGTAGGCTGCCTTTTGAATACTCTCTTAAAATATTATTAATGAAAAATGCTTAAAATCTACGCAAAGAGCCGAAACAAATATTTGTTGAACATTAATGTAATTGATGATATACGCTCTGTAATAGTGGAAAAGTAGAAAGAAAGTCCTGTTATATCCTGGGTAGCTCAGTTGACCGGATTGCGAATGGTCATGGGTTTGAGTCTTTTCTGAGATTGCAAGGGACAAAGAGGATTTTTTAAACATTTTTCATTAAGAATATTTTTTAGTACAGCATTGTAAATGCAAAATTGATTAAATAATATACTCTCGTAAATTTCATATTTAAATATTCAAACATGTAATTTAAAAAAAAAGAAAACCTGTTTTTATCCTGTACTATATTTTAAAACCCTGACTTGACATTGTGTATTTGAATTAGAACCCCGCCTGGAGTTATACTAGATGAAACACCATCGCGTCGCATAGTGAAATCAAATTAATGGAAATTGAATTCTGTTCTGATCTACTTAGAGTAGATTTGGATTTCTAAATTTTATACAGATATGCTACTTCAATATAAAACTCACCTTTAATCCCGTTCAGTTGAGGGACAGCTCTTAGTCGATATCCTATAATGAGGCCATTGTGGGTATCAGCAGGGGGTGGAAGCCATTTCACTCTGAGCTCTCCTGGAGAATCAGTCTGTTCCAATTGTACCCCCAGGGGTGGAGAAGAGGGAGCTGATAATAGAAATTACATTAAACTTCTTAGAACTTCAAAATTGAATGAAGCGTTTATATTATAAGAGTTAAGAATAGAATAGTTTTTAGTAAAGGCATAAGTTTTATATAAATGATATGTATCCGTTAAGAACCAAATAAGATCTGATGATTTATATGAAACTTTTTCATTTCCGTTGAAATATACAATTAAAAGGTAATAATACAATTCAAATGTTTTAAAAATTATATTTCGACCATTAATTTATTTGGATTTGGAAATTGACTTGAATTTTATCTTTGAATGTGACTTTGAATCAGAATCAATGATATTACAATAAAAAGGGTAGATAGGTTATATCTGTACTAATACGATGTCAGTACTAATAAAAATGTCATCACAATCCTTCAATCAACGCCTTCGCCAGACTGCGCTCAGGTATGCCAATTAACATAGTTTTAAGGTGATACTTTTTGAATGCAAGTAACCTCATCATCGGCCCTTTTACGTCCTCACTTCAGAGGCTCAGGCCTTCCTTATGGATAGTTAAAGAGGATGGGCCATGAGCCTCCATGCTGGCCCAATGTGGATTGAGGGATTTGAACAACTGCAAATGCAGCCTGGACCAACTCCTTAACGTGGCTTCCACAGCAAGGAGTAGCTCGAGATAATATTTTCTTGGTCACCCATCGCGTGACCCTTGCGAAAGTTGCTTACCAACTTACTCAAGTAACTTACCTACCCTTTTTTATTCAGAATGATATTATAAATTCACCTTCTTCAGTGGTGGTGAATCGAACAGGCGTCGAGTAGTGGCTCAAATCCGCCTGGTTCCCGCCAGCCACGCGGGCAGAGTACCCTGTTGCGGGCTGCAAGTCGTCTACTTCCATTGTATGTCGAATCTCTTCCAATCTTTACAGCAAAGTAAAAGAAGATAAGGCTCTCAAATAAATCGTAGTTTCATTCTCCGGGTGAAAGATGAACTAACCGATTGGTAGGTAAAAAATGTTAATTAAAGATGATTTAACGTTGACTTAATTATGATAACTTAGACTTAAAATATTTAGTCCCACCATTCACAACAAAACATACTTATAATAAGTTTTTATTGTCATATAAATAAGTAAAAGGGTAAATCTCTGACTTCTGTGCTAGTTATAACCTGAGTGACAGAAGTCAGCACCCACTTCCATGTTACTAGTATCAAATAATTTATATTAACAACAAGATGCAATTATAGCACTTAATCTAATCCAATATAATAATATACATACAGAATAAATCATGTGAGGTGATTAGCACGAAGTGATAGTAGTATGTGAGCCACTGACATAAGTGCATGGAGGGAAGGGTTATAATACTTTGACTTTTGAATATGGACTCCGTTTGATCATAACTCATGACGAGCAGCATTATCTTTATTTTATTTTGGCTTCGTTAAGAAATAGTGAGTAGAAATATTTTTTTTTTGTTTATTCTATTGTAAAAGCCGTTCCGTGTTTTGGGAGACTACGGACGTTAACTATGATGCGCTCATTTTTATATAGTTTAGTATCGGAAGGAGTAGCTTTGTATTGTTTTAGAAGTATTTTTAAAATGTATAGTTGCATTGCTGTTAAAAATGTCACACCGAAATATAAATATGTCTAATAAATATCGGTGAAAGCTCCTATATCGCTGATCCCATCTATAAATTAAAAGTAATAGAAAGATGGTGTAATTAAACTTTATAGTAAAAATATCAGCATTAAATTTTGTATTATACATATTCTGCAGGGGCTCAGGTCTTCCTGACGGATGGTTGAGGAGGACCAACGGCTTAACGTACCTTCCGAAGTACGGAGTAGCTCGAAATAAAAATTTTATGCTTACCCATCCCGTAGCCGATCCTTGAGAAAGACGCATAACAATAACGATCGCGGGTCGCGGCGCTTATTCACTACACCATCGAGCTACTCATTTTTATCAATACATATATAAATAGTATAAAACATAGTCGCTTTCCGTTCGTCTGTCCCTATGTATGCTTAGATCTTTAAAACTACACAACGGATTTTGATGTGATTTATTTCAATAGATAAGTTGAAACCGCTGATGAAAAGCTAGTATGCTATAATTTACACGATTGAAGTAGCGGGAAAACAGCTAGTCGTGGAATAAATCTTAAGAGGAGCGAGAATCTTTTGAATGTTACAGGACCACGCGCGCAAAACCGCTGTCAATTGAAAAGCCCAACTACAATTCTCAATTATTTTTGTTCAAACCATGACAAATAAAGACATTGATTACATTTATAAACAGGCAAATACTTTTCATAATTGAAATTGTTAAGATAAACACGTTATTTCGTATTAAATAGTTAAGTTTGTAAACATTATAATGCCAAGTAGATGAGGGTGTTATTAAGACAGTATTTCTTCCAAAGTAAAGAAAAACTTAAACACAATTATACAATAGCGACAACAAAAGAGAAAAATATAACAAACTCTTAGAAACAAACGAAATTTATTTCTATTGTTACTTGAGGCTCAGAACTGTCAAGAGTCAAGAAAAAATTTAGAGGAATAAAGAGTCCACTTTTTATTGTAAAAGTTTATGAACAACTTATTGAAAATATATTTTTTTTCATTTTCTTTATTATTCAAATCTAACATCTATATTCATAAAGCTTGAAGCTTGGAGTTATTATTAAAAGTTTCAGCACATCCTAGTTCATAAAAAGACAATATAGACATAGAAAAGCAACTTCAAAATTTTAGGTATAGTATTTAGTTTAACAACTCGTAATACTTAAACAGCAAGATTCAAAATAGTTAATGACTATGTAATTCTACAGTTCGCGTACTCCCAAAGCACTTTATAAGTTGACAACACTTACCATAACGCATTAAAATGTAGTCTGTACATCTAAAGCTTTAAAACTGTAACAATCTTACAAAACAAGGACTCAAATTAATATACGGTTTAAACCATTGGCTGCCTAAATAAAATTGACAATCACAGAACAGAAAACATCAGATTGAGATGTGTTGACTTATTTTAGTCGGTCAATGTTTTAAAGCTGGTATTAAAATTATCTCCTTTTATAATAAGACGTTTAAGGTTCTTTACTATTTTTATCTGTAAGCGCTGTTGACTTAAATAGTTGAAATACATTAGTTATAATTATATTCCCTATATATTATTATAAAAAGCATACATTCAAAGTGAGTAAATGAACTTACGTTGCTACTAAATCGAGCTCTGAACTTAATATAAATCTCTAACCTGGTGACGTTGATCGTCTTGGCCACGTTCCAAGCTAGTCTCTGGCTGGTGGTTATTTGGACACTGTAATACTGGGCTAGCGACCTAGTCGAATCGCGCCATGATAATCGCACGGATCGACTCCTTATTGAATCTACTGAGAGGTCCGTTGGTGGAGTCGGTGGTTCTACAAAAAGGATACATTGTTAAAAAAAATTAAATAAGATTTTATTATTAAATACTATTTCAGTTTATCGATACATCAAATATAATTATGGAGTTCTATGGAATTAAAACATATTGAAATACAAAAGGCAGTACTTTATATAACTGCAGGTATACCGGTTTACGATAACTAATCAAGTTGGTATGAGAAAACAAAACATAAATATCCCATGATTAATGAAATGATGACATATGCAAGCAATGATGGTAAAAAAAAATTGTTCAATGAGTTTATATAATCAATTATGTGAACTCAATCTTCCGCTGTTAGTAAACAATTTTTTAATATACTAATATATCTCTCGACAATGGATTCTTAATAATATATAGAGTATAATTATTCTCCTTGCTACTCATACTCCTATAGGAGGTTGGACGGCATAATGACTATCTTTATTTTTGAGGTTGCTGCGCGGAACAGTAGAGAGCACTATTAGAAAGTTTATTTGAATAGTATGAATACAACTGTTTTTAAACATACCTAATATCGTGAGGTAGACACTAAATACTTGAGCACCGAAGGGATTTCCAGCTCTGCACTGGTATAAAGCTCCATCGCTCGTCTCCGTCTGAAGCAACTCCAAGGTACTCGTTAGACCCTCATCTGTTTTTGCCTCAGAAATTTTCACCCTAAAACCAATGAAATGAATCTCAGAAACCACGACCAAACCCAAATGTGGCGTCATGAATTTATTAATATTTTTTTTTTGTTAATTTCTCTGCTTTTGTAATCAGTTGTAGTTTATTTAAAAATATTGACTTATAGTTTCAGTTTATTGTTCTAATCTGAGAGTTATATTATCTTTCCTTTATTTAGAACACGTGTATTATAGATATTATAAAAATATTGATATGTCCAATTTAAAATAATATTTTTGTCTTCTATTTTGGATTATAAGAAAATTAAGAGTTCTCACCTCTGCATTAAAGGATTGATTGGCGTCATGTTTCTAGTCCACATTATTCTTATTGGATCATCGCCTTTAGCATGACATTCTATTGTAACATGTTGACCAAGTTTTGCTGTTATATTTCTTGATAATACATCAAAAGTGACAGGCTCTGAAATATTATCAATACTTGTAGGTTCATCGATTTGGTTTATTTGGCTGTTTATTAATTTAATTTGGCAAAACATTAACATTTACTATTAATACTATTTTAAAAGACTAGTATTCTATATTTTTAACCCTTGTTTGAGGTGGCAAATGAAAAAACTGCTCCTTAAATAGAAAACAGCATAGTCAGACACTATTCACTGTCCAAATTTTTCAATTGTCAAACTGTCTCATACATAATATTTAAAACGGTTGTTAAAATTAAAATATCTGTATAACGTTTTGGCAAGTTCGTTTCCTTAGAACTTACTTAAGTAATGCTTTAATATTCACTAATTAAATTTAAACAATTGTTATACATAAAAAAATAGAACTGCTTTGACATTAGTGTAGTATCTTCATGGCGAAATTGTCAATACTACTTAAGACACATGACTCACTATTAACGGATATCCAAATAGTCTTGCTAAGTGCTTCACCCACTCCGTTTTCAACGTGACACGTGTACAGACCAGCGTCAGAGAGTGCAACAGTATCAAATATTAAGGATCCATTCGATAGGCTTAGTACTCCACCTCCAGCCACTTCAAGTACTGGTCGCCAAGCCTCGGACACAACTGTTGCAAATAAATACAACTAAAGATATGCCTGTTTATGTCATCTTATTAAGTACGCCGTCAAGTTAAACTAGTAGAAGATCAATCGGAGATGAAAGCAAGAACTCAAAGAATTTTCTAATTAAATTTCGCGAGAGTAAGTTGACATTAGAATTTAGAGGATTGGGCGCGTTAATCGTGTGCGGAGATTCTAGGAAGGTTAAATATCATAAGATGTTAGATGACTAAAAAAATTCTGACGACTTAACGCAATAATGGATCTTTTAGATCACAGAGATTTAGTATTATAATATCAGTCGTATCATGTAGACCAAAGACCCAAAATATACCTTTAGATCTAATAAATAGACTACCAAGCTTTATAGTTGCTTATTCGGTTTTAATAATTATTTATTTACACTTCATTGTACAACACTACAGATATTTACAGAATAATTGTACAATAATTGTACAATAGGCAGCCTTACCGGTTAACAGCGATTTCGAAGAAATCATATGCTCAGCAATAAATAAGCGAGGGTTATTTTCTGTTTCTCGTTTAATATTTATTGTAACTTGTGACTGCTTCAATGAACTTCCTTACACCAACATTTTTAATTTTAAGTCTTTGCATTTAAATAGTAGACTTACCATCTCTTTTTAGCCAATGCGTTTGCGGTTGAGGATACCCATTGGCACTGCATGATATATGTCCACTTCTTCCTAACAGCAATGATGTATTTTGAGGTTCTTCATTCCACTTTGGCGCGACTAAAATATATTAACATAACATATAATGTCAAAACTTTGAAATCGCAAATGAAAACAGTAAAGCTTTTTCCATAAAATGTAAAACTCTTAACTTTGATAAGTTTGGTGAAAATTTTCATGCACTGTCTTTGTAAATTATTTGACTGGTTGTGACATCTAAAATACTTGCACGAGTCATGTAAATGGCGCCGCAACAGTGATTCTAGGTTAGTTAATCGTTACCTACTTGCGTATCAATAAGAACTCCAATGGGGCGACGTTACTGAAGACTGAAAAATAATTACTATAATAAAATAGCAATAATACTTGCCTTTGATGTACAAATTGACAGTTCTATTAACCTTTGCGACATGGTTGGCGGCAACGCAAGTATAAGTACCACAATGGTCCAATGATACATTCTTTATTATCAGAACACTGAACACTTCCATGCTTCTTTCGATAATCTAAAAATAATATTTGTAATAATATGACATCCAAATGTAAAACATAACTTATAAGTACCTCATCTATATTACACTTACTCAAAATTCAAAACGTTAAATGTAATTCTAATCATAAATGAAAATGTTTAAAAAACAATGTATTTATTTCTTGCGGAACCTGTAAAGGATCCGAAATGTTAATAAAATTAAAACAAACGCGATGAAACCGTTTAAAAGTTGGTTTTGTATTTTTACAGCTTTAAATCAAAATTTAATAAAAAAAAATACATTTTATTCCCAGAATATATTTTACTCTATTCGAGTGAAAAACTAATTTAAATGAAGTTCTTATTTTCTTAAAACTTAAGATTAAAAAGTGTTCTACGAAGAAAAAAATCAATGGCTAAAAATAATTTACCAAGAAGAGGGGAAATGGTTTAACTTTCCTAATATCCCTTGTCAAATAAACAGAAGTCAAAGTTCAACTTTAGTAAATTTAATGTTAAACGAAAGCTTTTCAAATCAAATCAAATCTAATTTTCGGTATGAATCAAAAGTCCTTGCCTCATACAGTTCAATTATCGAGATAATCCATATTTGATTCATATGTATCGCAATTCTCAATTTGATTTCAGAACCTAATAAAAGAAAAAAATGATGTACAGTTTTGTCAAAAATTGATCAAACTATAGTTATATTTTGAAAATGCAACATCGGAGATTAACACACATGTTATTGGAAGATAATATTTTAGATACAAAGTAAATTTTTATCTTTTAACATAAAAAAGACATTAGTCACACACAGCCCAGCAATGTCGCAACATTATAGGTTCAATCAAGTTAAACCTTGAAAGCTTATAACTTATTTAATACTGTTTTATTTCTTTGAATCTCTATGCAACAGCGCTATGTTCAACCCTGTATTAACATAATAGGACTGCTCTGCCTGGAATAGGACAGTGTCAAATAGTGTATAAGAAATGAAGAATTGGATAAAACTGCATCTAAAAGCTTATATAAAAGCATCGGTAATTTTGTAACTTACTTTCAAATGATTCGGGATTTTCTTTCCATCTTTCAGCCACGAATAATACACCGGAGAATCACCGCTTTTCAAATTACAATGTATTTGTACTATTTGACCTTCTTGCAAATCTTGTGCTAGCAATATTTCTTCTAATTGCGGTGGTTCTACAACATGTAACTCGAATGTCCTTTTCGCCATTTCACCTGAAGGACTTTTAACTATACAAGCGTATGATGCTCCATTATCACTTTTAGATACTTTAGATATATTTAACACACCATTAGTAACAGTTGCATCTCTTTTAAGTCTTAATTTGGGTTTGCGCCCAAATATTTCTATACTCAAATCCTTGCTAGTGAATCGTTTGAATCGATTTATTTGTGATGTGTCTGATGTTATCTCTTTGCCTTTATACTCCCACGTGATTTCTCTGTAAGATTTAAATATGTTGAAGTTAGCAAAATAGAGAAATCACACCTATCAAAGAATCACTTTGTAGACGCTCGGCAAACAGCTAATACTCATGTAATAATCTGTAAATATCACAGTGACGTATCAGTATTACAGATGAGTGCGATATAAAATATTGAAGTCCAGAAAATATACACTAATGCTTAATTTAACTTTAGTAGTTCCATATGTGAAAAATTCTGTAAGCATATCTTGAAATAATCGAAAGAAATTCATGACCTTGAGTTTTTCTGCACCTGTATAACTTTATAGTTCAATTGAAAAAGGTGAATTTAACCTGAAGATTCCATAACTATTCATATACAATATATTTTATTTAGTCTAAATCCATGGCATTGGTTCGTAAATCTACGGCGGTAAACATTGTACTGGGAAGAATTGGGAAGGAACTCTGCAGGGGCTCTTCCCTCTGTTTTATTTCATACAGAGACGTCAAATTAAAATTAGAAAGCGACTTTATTGGAATATCAAGTTACTTGACATAAAATATAAACAGCACATATGCGTTTTTTGTAACTAAAAATAATTGTATCCATTATTATGCATTTTTACTGTTGGCTTATCCAAATGACCATGGCCTTAAAAAGTTAGATACTAAACGTCAAGTCTATAGGACAGATATTTCATGATGACAGTAAATAAATTAAAATTTTATAGATTTTAACAACTTTTACATAATATTATTCTTACCTCACAGGGTAACCATAGTAAGGGCATTTGAGCGTAACGCTTTGACCACTTTGCACTTTAAAAGGGGGAAGCGTTCGTATATAAGGCGGTCCTGAAATAATTTATTTACATTAAACAAGCTATATGTAGTTAGATGTAACTAAATTATGAAAAAACATATTAAGAATTAAATTTTGAAGGTGTACCAATACCTTTTTTTGGTGTTTTTATTTTTATTTAAACAGAATTATAACTTGGGTATCGCAGAATTTGGAAAACTTCACTGTCTGAAATTTACTTCCCGAACCCCGGATACTTCAAATAATGAATTTGAGGTTGGAATTCCAGAGATGGCGACATCCCGAATAATCAGTCCCGGTCGGATTATTGAGAAAAATGAAATTATCTGTACTATCGGGTCTGGGTGTTGGTACACACCATGAAATAAGCTATAATATTTTCATAATACAACTGCTAAAAACATGGGATTTGAGCAATTTATGACAATTATTATGTAATATTGAAATAGTTATGAAAATAAAAAGAATAACAATATCAGTAGCCTATTAATGTTGCGCACACAGATTTAAAACCTTCCCCGTGAATGGAAACAAACAATGGGTCGAAACCCACCACGTAGACCCAGTATGGATTGGTGTGTATTAACGACTGCAGCCGAGATCAACGGCGTATTCTATTGCCACGGTGTTGATAAAAGACTTGATGTCTTGGATTCAATTTTCTGTAGATACAACAAGCCATTTTATTACTGGTGTTTTAGGTTTTCGGATTTCCATTAAATATGGGCTTCAACTACTTGCAATGTAAATAATTAATGTATTGGTTGATATGCGTATTTCATGCAAAGTTTCTGCGAAAAACCATATTTTCACAATTGTGATTTTAAATTATACCGACTCTCGTGAATATTAAAAAGAAATGATTACCATACGTAGTCATATTAAATTCCATTCATGGAATTGCTTTGAATATATATCAATTATAAAACAATGTACCAATTAATGCTGTTAAAAAAATAGATAATAATTTTAATATGTTTTAAAGCGTTATTATTTATAACAGATAGATCACCGAATTACTTAAAATAGCATGCCATAAGAGAGGAGCACAAAACTAAATTTTAAAGATGTTTTTTAGACTTACAAAATTGGTGCATAATGGCCCTTTTTAGGGTTACGTAGTAAACAAGGAACCCCAATAGTTTCGCTATGTCCGTCTGTGGTTTAGTTAAAAAACCATAGGTTCTAAAAAGTTGTCATTTAACATGCGTAGATACGTTAATTACGCCGACGTAATTGGTGATAAAGTAAAATTTCGAAAAATAAAATTTAAGTTTCTTCCCATACATATAAAGTGGGGCTGATAATTTTTTTCGTCGTATCCATGTGTGAGACATCGTTGGGTAGCTCTTTTAAAAACATTGGAAATTTAACGAGTAATATTCGACCAATTATATTTAATTTGAAAATTTCGAACAACTCTATAGAAAGCAATAAATGTGATTTTTTTTACCTTTTTAATGGATAATTGGATAATGAATTCAGATTTATTCTATAAATCTTATTCAAGCACAGATACTACACAATTGTAAATTTGAGTACATAAAAATATAATGTTTTTCTGAAATATCTTTCTGAAATAGATATTAATATTAATGATTATGTATCAAAGTTTTTTGAAATGAATAAATTGAAATTGAATGATATAGAATCCTTCGTGCGCGAGCCAACTCGCATTTAACCAGTTTTGTTCTCTGTTTTATTTCAGGACCGACACTCTTTCTAGTAGTCTTTTAGTTTATTTTAATAAATAAATGCTGAAATTATAATATTTTGATGGTTTCAGCAACAATATTTTGAAATCGAGTGTATTTACACTTAACTACTATATTTATTTTACTATTAATTATTTATAAATCAGCCTTATTCAAATCACAGATTCAAATTATCCAGTCATAAAATTCAGTATGCACACACACGCTCTAAGTAATTTATTCAGTATATTTGACGTTGTGTCTCAAACAAAATATACATATTTTGTTTTTTTTGGCAAATATAATGTCAATAACCACACTAAGGTTTGTAACTAATTTACAAATTAAAATAAATGCAAATCAATCCGAATAGAACGCGCCGAAAGAGGCGACGAAAGGAACTTAGAAGTATTTGTATGAAAACATTAACCACCACTTACCAGTACGAGTCAAATAGTCATAATTTTAATGTCATCTGTCATTAATTTGCGAAAAGTACATATCGTTCGTCGCTTTCGGCTCGAATTGATTTCATATCAATCTAAGATCAACTTACCATAAACATTCAAACGATCTTGATGACTAATAATGTTCTCTCCATGTTGAGCAACACATGAGAACAATCCACCATCGTCCACCATTAAATGGGATATATTGAGTTGTGACACAACGCCACTGTCTGGAGTCATTGTTTGGCCTATCACATATCTGACGGATGAAATTAACTTTTAAAATCAATAGCTAACAGTTTAATATCCATCGGCTTTCAAAATATCATTGACTACGAGCTTTCGTAGTTAAAAACAACTACGGGGACGTTCGAATTGCTACACGGCATGCTACGTGTGTTACGTTAATTGTAACTGTCAATCATAGTAAAAAAGCTTTTTATAAAAAGTAGAACCGACATCAAACTTCATAAAAGTGATTAAATAATACTTATCTCAAAAACGATTTATTAAAGAAAATGTTGTTGAAGTCAGCCTGTCATTTAATTAATCTACAGAAAACCTCCGCCTCCTGACTTCAATAACAGATAAATACTATTTATCATTTCTTTAAAGTTTGAAGTCGGTTCTACTTTTTATAAAAAGTTATTAATTTAATGCTTTTTAGTGATATTTATATTTCTTATATAATTAATAACACTAAAAATATTAAATGTATATGTAAATAAAAATATTTATTATAGTGAAAATCTTAGAATAGGAGATTTTGTTTATTACATAATTTATTTATAAAATCTATATTCATAATTTTAAGTGGAAAGATATGATTGCTTATTTGTTTGCATTGGATAGACTCCTAAGCTATCGGACCGATTTATAAAAGTCTTTCATCTACGTAAGCTTCATATGCGCGGCGGACATAGGCTATAATATACGCAGGCGAAGTCGCACCTACTATCTATGACTTATAAAAAAATATACATCAAAGAGTAATTATACATACTCTTTGGATATAGACAATCTTTCTTTCAGATTTTGAATGAATTCTAAATACGCAATCTTTTATTTTTTAGCTGAAATGGGCTACATAATATATATCCTTAATATTCAGGTAATATATGTTGGAAGGAGTATTTTGTTTTGTTATAAAGACTACTTATTCGATTTCGATGAAATAAAAAAAATAAATAATTGAAAATCGGTGACAATTGACCCCTATAAAATATAATTTCCACATGTATTCAATTAAACAAAATATTATTAACCAATCAAAAACAATTCGACGTAAACTGAGCTTTAGTTAATATAAATAAAATATAGATATAAATAAATAAAAATAAATTAGTGATCAAAATCGTTAAGTAAGATAATATGCCAACAAAACAAAATCGAATTCGTTTGAATTCATCTTTGGCCTAAACCTAAACCTTTAAGAAAATAATATTTTCTTGATATTATCAAAATCACATAAATACTAAAAGTAGGCACCGCCAATATTATAGAAAATCAATCCAGTTTAGTAATAGCTTTCAAATTTTTATTATAAGAAATGAATTGAATAATCTAATACCTGGAATCTGTATTTGAAGAAATAATAATACCATCTCTTTCCCAAACGAATCTGGCTGGATGAGGCCCGTTCACTATACACTGGAGACTTACCTAAAAATAAATGAATATAAAGTACATATTCATTTGACACGAGTAAAATTCTATTACAATATGTTTAATATTAGGTTAAACAAATATTCACTCAATTTAAAGTTTGCTTAACTTAACGATATTTCTTTTTTAAAATGATAAAATGTAGAACAGCACAGTTACGAGTATAATTAACGCATACTAATTGCTTATACGGTAGTTCGATGGCGTAGTGGATAAGTGCTGCGGCCCGCGATTGTTGTCGTTAAGCAACTTTCGCAAGGGTCGGTCACGGGATGGGTGACCAAAAAAGAAATTATCTCGAGCTGTTCCGTGCTTCGGAAGGCACGTTAAGCCGTTGGTCCCGGCTGCATTTGCAGTCGATAATATCCTCCAATCTGCATTGGGCCAGCGTGGAGGGTCATGGCCCATCCTCCTTAACCATCCATAAGGAAGGCCTGAGCCCCTGCAGTGGGGACGTAAAAGGGCTGATGATGATGATGATGAATTGCTTATAAACTCGAGTTCAACTTTTAATAAGATAGCTCTTGTTTGCGATTTATATAATAAATAACAATATATAACGCAATGTTATATTTATAGCTTATCCGGGCTGTGAAACGATGTCAGAAGCAACTCTGCATTTTAAAGAGAGCGTACGCTATAGCCAAACAGTGCGTAAAGTTATAAAAATAATCCCCATAAAAAAATTGATTCACTTTCCTATTAAATCGTGTACTCTTAGCATAGCAAATTCGAGTGACCCGTTTTACAAGTCTTTTGACTTCGTCATGTTACACATGGTGGCAGGAAAATAAATTTGAAATTTATGCGGCCCAAGTTGTGCACTTGGCTGAAAATGGTTTATGACATTCACAATCTCAATTTGATGCTGGGATTTTTATGCTATATCTTTTAAAGTAGTAGACGGAGCGGTACACGGTATACGGTACGGTATACAGCGGTATACGGTAGTTATTTTCATAAAGGCGGTTGAGTGTAATTAATGTGATCAGGTGAGCTCTGCCTACTCCACAAAAAAGGCGTGAAATTATAGACAGATATCGAAGTTTGACTAGATCAAGTGCATTGTAACTTAACCACGAAACTATCGAAATGACGGCACTACCGCCGCAGTTTCGTCTTAGTAAAGATATACATGATTGTTTTGAATATTATCAAAATAGAAGAGAGTAATAAGCAGAATAATTCTTAGAAACCTTTAATATAACATTTTAAACAATATCTTGTAAATCGCGAATAAAATAAAGCTAAGTTAAACTTTGAGTTGTTTGCATAATTATAATAAAAAATGTCAAACAATCATATAAATAAATAACTTTCAGGATTGTCTACTAAACTTGGCACGCATTCTCATTATAAATACTTTTGTTGGTTGAACCAATAATCACACCTTATCGAGCTTAGACACATTTAACTTGACTTTTACATTTGAATTGGACTAATTGTAAGTGCATTATTAATAGTACAGATCTTACTGCTTAAATCTGTGGTTATCTGTTTTTTTTCATGAAACCTATTTTTATGATAGGTCTAACTTAGTAGAATAAATTGCAACAGGGTTGCCTGGTAATTTTTTTTTGTTTTTTTTTATTACTACTTTTGTAAATAAATTGCAGTCATATGTTTTTAGCGAACGCCACATCATTTAAAAGAGAATTATGTAATTAATCGAAATAACCTTGGTTGCCAGCTGTGGCGTGCACACCATACATGCAATTAAGCACTGTATACCCAACCCATAAAACCCAACTAAACCTACATCGTTTAATTATTTCTTGTTTAATTCTTAGATTCATGATCGTGATTTCGTTAAATTAGTAAACTTTTGATAGATGCAAACGTTGACAGAAATACTAATACGTTCTAGTGAGTGGAATATTTTCAACCGACCACTACGTTGGCGCCGCCGTCACCAATGCGGCCATAAGCTGCACTTCTTATAGCTTATTCGCAATACAAACATGACAAATCAAAACTTATGTTATACGCAGAAATCATTTGTATTACTACTTACTTTGGCTGCTGTATCGTTTAAACATTTATATTGCCATTAAGATTAAGGTACGGAACCCTTCGTGCGCAAGCCTGTATCGTAAGTTTCTCAAACTATTATAATTCACTACAATGTCTACAATGGAATTGGAATACCAACAAAAACATAGAACGTGTTATTCGAATCCATGTTCTAACACTCGAGATTACAATAACAGTAGACCATATTAAATAACGCTACCTTATTTTAACTAATCTTAAAGCGTGAATAAAACAATATGCTTTATATATAATGGAATCCTGATTATTAGAGAAATTTTCATTAAAGCTATTTATCAGTATAATATTGGGAATTAAATATTGATCAAGTTTGATAACAATATCTTTGTGATTGTCACCGCATGATTTCAAATGTATTTATTATACATGTGTTGTTTCTGTACAAAGAAACATATTTAAAAAATATTTTATTACGTACGTGTTTCATCAATGCAAATATGCGGCAACTGATATGTAATTTTGTTTCCTGTTATACTCACATCTCCTCCAGGCATAGCAGTCATCTCGCTAAAATGCTGCGTTATTATCATTTGTAAATTCCTCTTGTATCTATGAGTTATGGATGAACCTAAAAAAAAAAGCAGAAAATTGTTAATTAAAAATACTCATTTATAACTACAGGCATACTTTGGTATCAATCTTCGGTGTTCACTGTGGCCTGTTCTACTTAACGACATCAAAAATTATTTATGTAGGCTACACTAAGATAGATGAGAAAAGAGTTCTTGATATATCGAATGTCAATTTTAAGAGTACTGAGACTAATGTTCGTATATTCGTTTGAGTGTAGTTTTTGATATCGTTATCGTAAATGATTTGAAAGTATTTGGAGAAAAATCTTTGTGTTATCTATAAGTGTCCCTAGATAATTTGTAGACCAAAATTCGAATAAAGCTGTTTATTTTAATAGGTGCTTAAAATGAAAAAAATACACTTTATTACCTTTGTATTTATGACTCCACCATGGACTAACAAGATAATCTTCTACTTTAATAGACCTGTAACAAAAATGTATAATTTAATACAGTTTTAAACACATTGTTACAATGTTTTTTTATACACAAAGTTAGTAAATACAGAATATTATATACCAGCAGCGAATAAATAAACATGTAGGTACGAGTGGCAAATAATTTTGCAGCTATCACCATCAAAAATGAACAAGTGAAGTAGTATGGTAGTGAATGCGAGATTTTATGCCGCTTGTGCACGTGCATTTATTTTGGGGTGATGCAAAAGTATTTTGCATATACTTATGTTGTATGGAGACGCTGCAATGTATTTCCACAAACTAATTTGTGGAAATGAGATTTTAAAAATTTGATTTCTTTAAAAAAAAAGACACAATCATTTCTTTTTCCATCAAAAGCCAACCAAAACACTTCTTTTATTAAAGTCAGACTTAATAGATAACCGCAAAAATAGAAAAAAACATTATAAAAAACATTAGACTTTTTAAAGCCAGAATAAGTTTTTATGATAAGTTAATAAAAAAAATCTCTATTCTATTCGAGTAAAAGCTACTTTCCAAATAAGGTATCGTATCTCTACATATTCAGTGATCCACGAACGCTCATTTCTTCTGATTACACACAAGAGGCTTTGATTTTACTCTTCGAAAGGATTCCTCGTAAAATGGTACGAACCCTTCTATTGGACAAGATCAATGAAGTTTGGTTCGCTCTCTACATGTTTATAACGATCGAATTGGAAAATTAATGCATGACTAGCTTCAGACTCGATGGTACTTGTTTGGACATACATAACTTATTATGCTGGCATCTTATTCACATTTTAGATTTTGACTTTGGTGTGTCCAGCGATTCGGTCTACCATTTTAGTTTTTTAAACGATTTAAAGTTAAATTGACCGTAACTTGTTAAAAACACTTGACGCAAAGTCATTGCTCGCAAAAAAATGTCTATGAAATCTCCCGCAAAGTACTAAATTCGTGTTGTCATCCGCTACCCTGTTATGCAGGAAAACTTCAAGTTTAAAAGGACGATTCAAAGTAGTCTCCTAACTGCATGACAATGTTAAACGGCAACGTAACTTCTGGACTTTGTTTATATGGGTCTTTTTGTATGCACTCCGCATTCCCCTCGACTAACTTTTTCAGATTATCATTAGTTATCTTTTCTAAAGATGCACTTTGATAGAAAAGGGTTTTTAAAGATCATGGAATTGACCGATAATTATAAAAATGTGGCCGAAGGAGCAAAACAACAATTTTCTGCACAAAAAAATTGTATCTTTAAAAAAACTGATATATAATTTCATCAAATACTGTTTCTATAATAAAAAATAATAAGTTACTTTATAGATTTTGATATGGAGTGATTTCAAAATAATCGTAATTGTTTCCGTGATATTAAAAACAATTTGACGCTTTTATTTACGGGATATCTATTACATTGGATCGCCTCGTGATTTAGACTCGTTTTCTCCTAATCCTTAATAAAATAATAATCAAAATTGTTTCATTATCATAATTAGTCTCGGATAAATTGATTCTAAAAAACTGGCTAAAAGCGGGTCGTATTAGCTATGCTAGCATGCTATTGAAATGTGATCTCTGAAGCCATTCCATGTATGAAAAAGGTAATGAGACTAGAAGAGGCGAAAGATGTATAGTGCTTCATGGTAATCACAAAATTACGAATATGACGTTAAATATGCAATATCTTTATTCTACATATTTAACTTTTTTTTGTTATAATTAACTTCATCATTTCCACAATTTCCCTGTTGTCGTTATTACTCTAAAACATGATTATGTAAAAATAGTGTTTTGTGGCGCTTGGTCCTTGAGTAAGGGAGAATATCTCTTATATTAAATAACTTCATTATAATTAGAATAAAACAAAAATCTACCTGTGTGCAAAACAACAGAAAAGGCTGGAACAAGATAACAAATTTATGCAACAGCCTTTTCAATTAGTTGTTGTTCACGCAGGCTGGATTTATTTTTAATTTTAATTACAATTATATTCATGTCTTTTTAATTATACAAATTACCAGGTTGGTTCAGAAAGTGACAGAACAAATTTCATATTTTTAAACTTTATAATTCAATTATTTTATTATGGTATTGATAATCATCATATAAGTTTTTGGAATCCTTGTATTGAGCCCTTTAATTTGATACCCATATTAGAAATATAAAAAATACATTAAATATAATGGTGGCGTCGTACTGCTGCCATATTTGATTTCTTTAACGTTACCTATCTAAGAACGAACGATATCTAAGAACGCTACTACGATAAATCTAATGATACTTCAATTATCTTAATCCCTTCTGCAGTTTTGATGATATGAAGTAATAAAAAATATTTCATACATACAGGGTAAGTGCGAAAAGCATAACTCTACATTTGCAGTCGGGTAAAAACTATTGAATCCAAAAATACAATAGAATATTTGAGAATATATTTGAGATCCTCATAACAAGCCCTTTTACTTAATATGTAACAGCTTTTTTTTAAATTTTCTGACATTTTGAGACTGCATTTTTCTAATTAATTTATTTCTACTCGCCTCGTAACTGATTTACATATCACAATTTGATCATATAATAGTTGCGTTTATCTTTTTTATACGGAACCCTCAAAATAGACTAGATTTGGATAAAAAACAAAAAGAAGTAGTTTAAAATCATAGTCTTAGTTGGTTCAAAGCTTCATTTTTTATCTTCGCCAGTGCTTTTAAAAGATTAAAAACATAACGATGCCAGAGACGGACTCTAATCGATATCCAATAATTAAATTGGAACGTCAATTAATCTCGGAGCTGCTACTCCATCTTCCAATATGTACTTGCATCCGAAACGTAGAGATTAATCGAAAGATTTTCAGTTATGAAAGATTCCATTTACGGAATGGATCACCGTTATGTTATACGAGTTATCGATTACAGTGAAGTTTGAGTTTCTTATTTTATCGACATACCCGGCCTTATTATTTACAAACTTACTGAACTTACAGTGTATTATGTATGTTCCTCAAATATTACAACTGTACAAATGTGAAGAAAATATTCAAACAGTCATGTCAATATTTCAATGGCCCGCAAATCGCAATATCACAATATATCACAGCAAAAATCTTGTTATATTTAAGATTTTAAACACCAAGCCTATACGGAAGTTTAAAAATGCGCGCTCTTTATTCATAAGTAATTTCAAAACTGTCGAGTGAGTGTTAATAATGGCTTTTCTTATGATAGTTCAATATGTTTATTTTTCAAACACATTCTAAACCTATAACCCTTTGTAATTTTGAGTTTGACATAATTTTGGGCTAAATAATAAGGATAATTTGTGGCAAAAACTGCATAAATAGTTAGTACCTACCTACCTCTAAAAAGTAACACAAACAACTTATTAATTAAGTTTTAATCAATGTCAAACAATAAAAAAACTAAATTAAAGATTATCAGCCTACTTTATTAAATTTAATATTCAATTTTTATATTAAAATACAATTTGTTATCATTTATTTATCAATGGACAATGTTATTATAATATTGAAATTATTTATTACCGTTAATTTCACCGAACGCAAAAGCATGACCGAATTCAATATGTAAATTGTGCTAATTAAGCCACTTGTTTGCTATAATGATATTCGTTCACGTTATGATGTAAATATTGGTTACCTACGTAATATTTCACTGATACTTCAAGGACTGCTTTAAAGTATTCTTCCGTACACTTTTACTTATGAGTTGATCAAACTAATGGCTCTATAGAAAAATATTAAATTACTCAGGTGCCCAAGATGGAATTCGTATTCATAACAATTTGCAATCGAAGCGACTGCTCTAACAGAAAATGTAGAATTCATAAGAAGTTTTCAATAAGGTAAAATATCAGCATAATATCGTGACTGCAAAATTTCTCAAATATGATAGTTTTATAGTTGTTGGTTGTGTAGTGGTTAGTTGAGGCGTCCGTACGTTGGCCATAATGCACAGGTACGATATTTTTAATAATAAACATGTCTATTTAAGATTCGTTATATGTCAAGCAATATAAAAACTAAGATTAAAGCTATATTAAATAAAAAATATCCACCAAATCATTATTAACATAAAAGGTGCCCAGTAGGCAAAGAGTTGCCTATTTGTATACCCCAGACTGTATATGCTGCTGTCGATAAGCTTATTTTTCATACTTCTATCGTGGAGAGTAGATATAACTCCACTAAAGACTAGACTGAGAGAGTAGACTGAATTCACAAGGCATGTTCTTAACACAACTCTTTCGTTTCTTCGACGTTTGATGTTGTATGAAAAGACACATCTCTTTTCATGTATGAAAATGTATGGTTGCAGATTTTTTTTGACTTATGCCATAATTTTCCGATAGCAACATATTTATTTCCCTTTTATACCGACATTGTCATCACAGATTGTATACTATAATAGACGACGTTACAGCTAAACTTCAATAAACATAAAAATACTTTCTAAGTAAAAATGTAATAACGTGTAAATATTT